GGAATGCCGGCAAGAAAATTCCCAGGAAGATTAAAAAATAAAATACAGTTAAATCTATGGAGTAAATAACATGGAATCATTGCTGATTTTATTCAAAAGCTTCCCCTACTGTTCTCTGCCTTTGCAATCTGATGAATTAGAGCAATGCTTCTGATCATTCCAAAAGTTTGTGCCCCAGGTCATGGGAAAGGTTAACTCAGAATCTATGCTCTGAAGTTGATGAGTTTTCCATCCTTTGAGTTCCTTTAAAACTTTTCAATTCCCAGGGATCTCACATGGGGGAAAAAAATGCAAAGAACATGTGCAGTTCTATCAAGAAATCTCTGAGGGAAGCCAATCTTAATAGAAGTTATTAAAAATGATTAGCTTCCTAAGATATGACCAATCCCTGGAGTTTCCCTTACAGGATATTTGTGGGGAGGGCCAGCATACAAACTAGGGTTTCCAAAGATGAAACAGAGGTGTGAACGTTTTTAAGTTCACGTTACAATAGAAACTATAACAAAAGATGTGGTCTGTGTAGCTCCTGCGCTGTCAACGTGACTTTTGGAGATGATCAAATACAAAGCAATGGGCCATGCAAGAAGAACAAGAAGTAACAGTAATTCAAAGGACAACATAGGGCTTCCCTGGTGGCGCAGTGGTTGGGAGTCCGCCTGCCGATGCAGGGGACACGGGTTCGTGCCCCGGTCTGGGAGGATCCCGCATGCCGCGGAGCGGCTGGGCCCGTGAGCCATGGCCGCTGGGCCTGCGCGTCCGGAGCCTGTGCTCCGCAACGGGAGAGGCCACAGCAGTGAGAGGCCCTCGTACCGCAAAAAAAAAAAAAAAAAAAAGAAACAAACAAAGGACAACATAATTCAGCAATTAGGCGACAGGCAGCTCATTCAGATTAGAAAAGAACTAACACCTACATCAGCCTTTTGAGCTCCCCTGTGCCATGAACGGGCATGTGACAGCCAATGAGATCTGTCTTGCTTTCTGTATTTCAATTTCCAAAAGAATTGTGATGAGTATGTACACAATGAAAGTAAAATTACTCTTTAGGTATTGCCTAACTGCTTCCAGAAAGTTACTTTCCTCTAAGGAGTGCCAAGGCAGGGTAGATAAATTAGGCCCCAGAAGACAGGGACTCAAAGTTTCCAAATTTTTTTAAAAAATCACTAAAAAGTAACAATACCAGGAAGCTTATCTCAGCACTAACCTCAACAAAGTGTATCCATGTGCCATGTTGGTTATCACTCTGCTTTTTCTGAATTCGATAACTGTGTCAAACAGTATTTACTCCTGCTCAAGA